GATGGTGTGTGACAAAGTTGTGTGTGAAAGATAGTGTGTGACAAAGTTGTGTGTGACAAAGTGTGTGTTGACAAAGTGTGTGTGAATGATGGTGTGTGACAAAGTGTGTGTGAAAGATGGTGTGTGACAAAGTTGTGTGTGAAAGATGGTGTGTGAAAGATGGTGTGTGACAAAGTTGTGTGTGAAAGATAGTGTGTGACAAAGTTGTGTGTGACAAAGTGTGTGTTGACAAAGTGTGTGTGAAAGATGGTGTGTGACAAAGTGTGTGTGAAAGATGGTGTGTGTCAAAGATGGTGTGTGAAAGATGGTGTGGCGCGCCACACAGTGCCATAAGTGCCACGCCTGCCACGCAAAACGAAGGTGGATGTGAGATTGTGCCACGCCTGCCACGTGAAACGAAGGTGGATGTGAGATTGTGCCACGCCTGCAACGCAAAGTGCCGCGGCGTCACCGGCGACCAACGGCGACCAAGCGCGCCACACAGTCCCATAAGTGCCACGCCTGCCACGCAAAACGAAGGTGGATGTGAGATTGTGCCACGCCAGCCACGTGACACAAAGGTGGATGTGAGATTGTGCCACGCCTGCCACGCAAAGTGCCGCGGCGTCACCGGCGACCAACGGCGACCAAGCGCGCCACACAGTGCCATAAGTGCCACGCCTGCCACGCAAAACGAAGGTGGATGTGAGATTGTGCCATGCCTGCCACGTGACACAAAGGTGGATGTGAGATTGTGCCACGCCTGCCACGCAAAGTGCCGCGGCGTCACCGGACGGCGACCAAGCGCGCCACACAGTGCCATAAGCGCCACGCCTGCCACGCAAAACGAAGGTGGATGTGAGAAAGTGCCGCGGCGTCACCGGCGACCAACGGCGACCAAGCGCGCCACACAGTCCCATAAGTGCCACGCCTGCCACGCAAAACGAAGGTGGATGTGAGACTGTGCCACGCCTGCCACGTGACACAAAGGTGGATGTGAGATTGTGCCACGCCTGCCACGCAAAGTGCCGCGGCGTCACCGGCGACCAACGGCGACCAACGGCGACCAAGCGCGCCACACAGTGCCATAAGTGCCACGCCTGCCACGCAAAACGAAGGTAGATGTGAGATTGTGCGACGCCTGCCACGCAAAACGAAGGTGGACGTGAGATTGTGCCACGTGTGTGAAAGATGGTGTGTGACTTAGTTGTGTGTGAAAGATGGTGTGTGACAAAGTTGTGTGTGAAAGATGGTGTGTGAAAGATGGTTTGTGACAAAGTTGTGTGTGAAAGATTGTGTGTGACAAAGTTGTGTGTGAAAGATGGTGTGTGAAAGATGGTGTGTGACAAAGTTGTGTGTGAAAGATAGTGTGTGACAAAGTTGTGTGTGAAAGATGGTATGTGAAAGATGGTGGCCTGCCACGTGAAACGAAGGTGGATGTGAGATTGTGCCATGCCTGCCACGCAAAGTGCCGCGGCACACAGTGCCATAAGTGCCACGCCTGCCACGCAAAACGAAGGTGTCCACAAAGTGTGTGTGTGTGTGAAGGATGGTGTGTGACAAAGTGTCTGTGGACAAAGTGTGTGTTTACAAAGTGTGTGTGACAAAGATGGTGTGTTGACAAAGATGGTGTGTTGACAAAGTGTGTGTTGACAAAGTGTATGTGTGAAAGATGGTATGTGGACGAGACGGGAGGCGGGAGGCGAGGAAGGAGAGACAAAGGAGGTGGTGGAGGATCGTGAAGTAAAAACAGTTGTGTGGGACAAAGTCGCATGTGAAAAATGGTGTGTGACAAAGAAAGATGGTGTGTGTGTGTGACAAAGATGGTATGTATGTATGTATGCATGTATGTATGTATGCATGTATGTATGCATGGATTTATGTATGTATGCATGTATCTATGTATCTATGTATCTATGCATCTATGTATGTCTGTATGTATGTATGTATGTATGTGTGCATGTTTGCATGTATGCATGTATGCATGTATGCATGTATGCATGTACGCATGTATGCATGTATGCATGAATGCATGTATGTAGCCAAAACCGGCATGCCAAATCCATGAGTATAGTGAATGGCATTGGCCGGTCTTGGCAGCATGTGCAGCGTGGAGAATGCAGAAGGTTGGCGACCGAGCTTCGCAGAGGTACCTGGCAGGTCAGGCAAGTCAGACAGCAACAGCACGCGGGCACAACTAAACGATGCAGTGACTTGGTGAGCTGGCGAAACAAGAGTTCCCGGCGCGGCAATCAGTATCAATGGCAGCTTCAGCAGACAAATCGAAACATGTTCCTGTTCAACAGACATGCCGCTCGAGAACATCTTCCATACCTGTGCACATTTGCAGAAGACCACATGCGACATGCAATGTTAGTTGACTTGGTTAAAGGCTTTTTTTTCGGCGCCGAGCGCGGTATCAACATTGCCTCGCTTGCACCGCAAGCCTGGTAGCAGCGACGAGAGATTTTCGCACGGCGCGTCAATCTAGTTGCGTACTATAGGGCCGGTAGCGGCGACGATGGGCGCAGGGCGAATGCAGAAGGTTGGCGAACGAGCTTCGCAGAGGTACCTGGCAGGTCAGGCAAGTCAGACACAGCAACAACACACATGGACAACTAAACAATGCAGTGACTCATGACGCGTAGGTGAGCTGGCGAAACAAGAGTTTCTGGCGCGGCAATCAGTAAGGCAGCTTCGGCCACGTGAGCCAGCCCAGTGCCGTGCCACGCCTAGTGAAGGTCCAGGTCACCAAGTGCCACGCCTGCCACGCCTGCCACGCCAACAGTCGCGGCGACAACGGCGTCAACTGGGAACCAAGCGCGCCACCAGAGCCAGCCCAGTTCCAAAAGTGCTACGCCTGCCACGCAAAGGTTCATGTCACCAAGTGCCATGCCTGCCACGCCAACAGCCGCGGCGACCGCGGCGTCCACTGGGAAACAAGCGCGCCACCAGAGCCAGCCCAGTGCCATAAGTGCCACGTCGGCCACGCAAAGTGGAAGTCCATGTCGCCAAGTAAGTTGTGTGTAAGTTGTGTGTGTGAGCAAGTTGTGTGTGAGTAAGTTGTGTGTGTGTGTACAAGTTTGTGTGTGTGTGAGTAAGTTGTGTGTGGACAAGTTGTGTGTGAGCAAGTTGTGTGTGGACAAGTTGTGTGTGAGTAAGTTGTGTGTGCATACAAGTTTGTGTGTGTGTGTGAGTAAGTTGTGTGTGGACAAGTTGTGTGTGAGCAAGATGTGTGTGGACACGTTGTGTGTGTGAGTAAGTTGTGTGCGGACAAGTTGTGTGTGAGTAAGTGTGCAAGTAAGGTGTGTGTGAGGAAGCCTGTGTGAGTAAATTGTGTCAGTAAGTGTGTGAGTAAGTTGTGTGTGAGTAAGTGGTGTGTGGACAAGTTGTGGAGTAAGTTGTGTGTGTGAGTAAGTGGTGTGTGGACAAGTTGTGTGTGTGTGAGTAAGTGTGTGAGTAAGTTGTGTGTGGGCAACTTGTGTGTGAGTAAGTAAGTGCTGTGTGGACAAATTGTGTATGAGTAAGTGTGAAAGTAAGGTGTGTGTGTGTGTGAGGAAGTTGTGTGTGAGTAAGTGGTGTGTGGACAAGTTGTGTGTGAGTAAGTTGTGTGTGAGTAAGTTGTGTGTGTGTGGGTAAGTTGTGTGTGAGTAAGTTGTGTGTCAGCAAGTGTGTGAGTAAGTGGTGTGTGGACAAGTTGTGGAGTAAGTTGTGTAGAGAAGTTGTGTGTGAGGAAGCGTGTGTGAGTAACTTGTGTGTGAGCAATTTACGTGTGGACAAGTTGTGTGTGTGTGGACAACGTGTGTGTGAGCAAGTTGTGTGTGGACAAGTTGGTGTGGACAAGTTGCGTTAGTGTGTGTGTGTAAGGTAAGTTGTGTGGACAGGCGGCGGGCGGGGCGGGAGGCAGGCGGGAGTGCACAACCAAAAACAAGAACCCCACACAAAGATGGAGGGAAATAGAAAAACGTAAAAAAAATCAAGCAAATAGCAACATTTAGCAACAAGTAGCAACAGATGGCAACAAATAAAGTAGAATCACGTAAAAAACAAGCATTAAATAGCAACATTTAGTGACAAGTAGCAACAGATGGCAACAAGTAGCAACAAATAGTAGCAATAGCAACAAAAACAAATAGAAACACATAAAGACAACAAGCGAATAGCAACATTTAGCAACAAGTAGCAACAAATGGCAACCAATAGCAACTGGTAATTGAGCAAATAACAAATGCAAGAGAGCTAAGGAGGCACAATGAAAAATGTGGAAATCAAGGCTACTGAATACGGGGACCCTATCTTCGGTTTCTTAATTAATTCATGTGATTTCATGCCTTCCTCGGCGAGAGATGACAATAGTAACTAAACAAATACCTGGCATGCCAGGACATGTACTTCTAGGCATGCGCGGGCAATGAAAATGACGTGAAAGTCGCTTATCTCAAGCCTTCCCTTTTTGTTTCTACCAAAAACATGCGACACCAAGCCCCCGGGTGGGAGAACAAAATATTTCCTGAATCAAAGGGCTTAAGAATTGTAGAACATGTGCAAAAAATGCGCAAACAAATTGCAGATATAGGGAAAACGTTCACTTTTCGGGAGTGTTGCCCACAATTTGTCAGCAAAGGAAAATCACAAGTCCAAGCGCCTAACCATGACACAAAAATAACGGCTATATTGCAGAATTTCTTCCTCCACCGAATTTTAGATCATGCCTCTTGCCTAAACAAAGCGTCTCCACATTGTGCATATATAATATGATATGGCTATGGCCCCAAACCCTGCAACCCTTGCGATCAACAAAACAATTTGCGAACGGATGCCCATCCCCAAAGCATGGTGTTGCTGGCTTTGGCCCATTCCCACATGTGGGTATATATACATACAAACCACATAACCTATGTTTTGCTGGTTATGTTTCGCGCATTTCCTGTAGCAAGATGCTACCATTGTCTTGGCCTGTCCACGAATTCCCGACGTTTCTCGTGACATGTCGCATGCGTCACGGCCTCACACCCGCACGCCTGGATGTCAGAGTTTTCCTGGAAAGGTACCTACAGGTTCTGTCGCAAACCGCACAAGCACCCTTCAACATGTTCCCCTTGTGTCCCCACAAGGTCAACTGAATCAAAATCAACGAGGCTCCAGTTTATAATTTCATCCCTCTTCTTCCCTTTACCACTGTTTGAATATCTGGGGCACATGCTTGACATCAGTTGAACCATGTGAACCAGGGGGACCCAGGGGCATCTTTGCTCACCCGTACGCCCTGGCGCACGCAAAGCATGGCAAGGACTGCCCGTGAGGCGAGAAGTTCAAGCCTCGGCAACGCGCCTCTGCATATGCTTGTTGAGGCCCACAACGAAATACATGCAAAGATTTGACAAACATCAAAACAAAGATCTCAATTCAAACATTGGTTCTTGACTTCAAAACTGCTGGTCTAACGGCATCCTGTTTGGCCCCTGGCTCGCTTTTGGGCATATTCTGCTTGGCCCCCTGCGCGCCAAGGTTCACCAATGAGCTCTACGGACTGCTCGCGCTTTACAAAATCTTGCGTTCCCTATGGTTTGAATAGCATCCAGCTTGTGGATCAGGTTTGCGTGATGGATAGACAGTTGCAGTAGTGAATCAGTAGTGACGCATTCAAAATGTTCAAAATTCAACGTTTCGAGGTTTTCATTCATGTCTGTGCATTGGCAGATGCTTTGGGCGGGAGGGTTCTTGCAGCGCCGCAGGAAATTCAAGAACAAGTTCCTGGAAGAGTGGTTTCTCGATGAAAACATGAATAAACATTCCATACCAATCGCTAATCAGTCATGGGTCCCACTGAAAAAAATGCTAGCTCTCTTAAACAAGGTTTCTAAAGAAAAGGGGAATGTTGCAACAAAAACGCGGACGCATTACGGGCGCTGTTCTAACACTTGTCTTGAGCCATGCAGGTCCCAGCATGTAACCCTTCAGTTCATGGAGGTTATTGGACCACAGTCTGACATCTCTAGTGCAGTGGATCCAACTTGCGCAGGGCCGTGATGCTTATTGGCACGTTTATGAAGATACACCTGGTTGTGAATAGGGGTCATACTGCGGCACCGCTCCGCAACATGATCTGTGTTCAAGGTCCTGCTGCGTAAATCAGCCTCTCATCAGCCTTGTAAGTAACTTACAGAGTTGTTTGAAAACGCTCATATAACAAGACAGCAAAGCTTCCGTTCTCAAGTCCGAACTGGCTGGGTCACCTGGTTGCGTGCTGCCAAGAACTTCTTTCTTTGGCCCTGGCAGCAACCTTGAATCCTCGCATTCTCACCTCACTCTGAGGCCCTTGACCCCGTGGTGTCACCCGCACAGGTTCCTCTTCTTTAGACAGCCGCGCGCATGTCATGTCTCTTCCATGACCTTTCCTCATCATTCAAAAGCCTCAGCCCTGCGACGCTACGTAGACTTTCGTGGCTTTGCCAAGGAATGAAAGGATTGATTTTTCATCTCCACGGAAAGAAATCCAAAACCATGAAGCGAATCAACACAGAGATAATTGGAACGGTCGTCCACTTGGCCGCTTTCCTTGTCCTGCTGCATGCGCCACATTCAGCAAGAGTAGTGCTGCAACTATACGTATACGGCGCACCGGCATCTGTGCAACCAGGCCATTCAGCCTTAACCGGCACTAGTTTGTGGCTATGTGTCTGCCAGGATGAAGAGAATGCCAACCTTCTTCAACTTCATGATGAAACACGCACCTGCGACTGCAACCATAGTTCCCTTAGGTGTACATGATTCATTCCATTGCGCGATGCTTTTGCACGAGCAGCGGGCTGCCACTCCTGAAGATCAGCGTCGCTCTGGTAGGTCTGCAAAGCCTAAAGTCCACGAGCAGGCTCGTCAAGTCATAGAGGAATGCTCTGCAGCTCTGCGTCTGCTGGAGATGGAGCCGCCACACTCTGCCGACTGCATGGTACCTCCAAAAGGTGACTTTCTATCATCTCAACTGAACATGACATGGTTCGTTCAGTGGCTTGGCTTGCGGCCCAATCACGGTCAGGGTAAGTCACTATGGCCGCTTTGAGCGCCCTTGCAGTGGATACGCACATGTTCCTCTGCGTACTTTGCGAGATGAATTTTCCAAACTGTAACTTTCTCAGCTTCAACGTGTGGACCACTTTAAGCTGTGACATTCCTGAAGCTGTGTAACAAACTGCAAGCTGCAGTGAAGGTGGATCCAATTCAACAGCGTGCCATGCCTGTCAGTCTCCTAAGCCTTGCCGCCTCCTCTTGCAGCAACAACCACCAGCCTCATGTGCTTGTCCACCATGGTTCTTTGAACATGGAGTGTCAAACACTTTGACTTTACTTTGGTTTCAGTTCTTCGGTGATGGTCTTGGCATACTTGTCGCCGGCCATCGAGCACGTCAAGACTTTCAGCACCAGCAAAAAAACTGCCGATCAAATCATCACTTTGCGTGCAACCAGGAATACATCTAAACCCTCACTGAAGAATGTGCCTGGCACACCCAAGTCTCAGTGAACGTGTCCTGACTATCAGACTATCACGTGTCCTACGTGGTCACCCCACTTTGCGGCAACCTCTCTACAGCCCCGTTAATGAGGAACCACAACATGCCATTGCCGACTTCACTGAGTGAATAGGACGGCTGCAACCTTCTGTGTGTTCGGTGCGTCAAAGAAAAGGACGGTTTCCAATCTCCCAATGAGCCTCCAGCATCTTGATGTTCCACCGCCTTGCTTCCGCTTGGCGTCAAACTGAACGACAGCGCCGAATACCAGAGTTGCAGCCGATGAGGTGCTCACCTGATAATCCAACATCCAGGCCTCCTTTGCCATCCAGCTTGTTGATCTTGGAGGGCGGTTTTGAACAGAATACGGCTTCACCAAACTTAGCTAATTACACCATGATATTCTCGACCTCTCAAGCATTGGTATGTCGTCGTGCCATCAGACTTCGCTAAATAGAGCGTAGCCAACCAACGTGCGCGTGTGACCAAACATGCAAAAAATCACTCAGGTTGCTTGAAGCTGATCGTCCTCGTGATGGTTCTCGAATGAACGGCTCATGTATCTGATTTGATGAAAGATTTCACGCATAACCTCAGTGGCACCATCCGAGGCGTGAAATCCAACAGCTCTAGTTTGCACTGAAGCTGCGTGTGGGCACTTGCCAGCAGCAGCATACACCAAGGCTTTGATTGGAATGAAGCTTCAAGGCCAACAAAAAATATTGTATTCCGCGTGATCCGCACCATGACAAATTATTCGGACATTCTTTGCGGCATCTCTTCTGCCATTATTCTGCCATTCTACTGCCATTCTATGCGACAATCTTTCTGACATATATATTCTGCCATTTTATCTGGCATATATTCTGGCATTCTAAGTGGCGTCGTTTCTGACCTTTTATCTGACGTTATAACTGGCATGCCTTGTGACAGTCTATGTGGCATTCTATCTGGCCTTCTTTCTGGCACGTATTCCGACAGTCTTTCTGGCATCTACTTTGACATTCTCTCTGGCCTGGTGCCTCGCTTGATTCTGATCTACCTGGCATTCTTTCTGGCAGGTGTTGTGACATTCTCTCTGGCGTGCATTTGGGCCCATATTTGCTCAGCCTGACCTGGACCCGCACTGGTGACATGGAACTCGCTACTGTAGGGTTTAGGCCCACATGCCCAGATTAAGCCGCTGTGAGATCCGGGTCTGTGGTGTGGGCAATCACGACAAGCTGGCAGAAGCGAAGAAGCCCCTCACTTGGCAGGTGGGGAAACAACGTGGCCCCATCACACTTGAGCTTCCATAAGAAGGTGGATCACATGTAGCTCCCCGATCTCTGCAAACCAAAACAGTCATGACGTATCAATCGCCATCTCTTCTGCAGCCTCCTCTTTGAGATCTGGTCCTTCGTGCCCGGTGGAAGAAGTAGTAGTCCACGCTGAACCTGGGCGTCAAAAAAAACTTCGCCTTCCTTGTTTGAATGGAAAATATTCTTGCCCAACAAATCTTCCAAGCATCAGATAATTTTGTGCAAACCATTGGCGGTGAACTGAACAAGACCAAAAGTTTCTCTTTCGGACATGAATGCTTGCAGAATAGTATAGATGCAGCCATTTCACATCATGATTCTTTTCGATTGCTAGGAGGCAGCATTACTTACCGATCACCAAATCAATCAAAAGCTACGGCCTTCGGATTGACTAAACTAGACAAGTGGACAAAAACGATTAAACGTTGTCGTCACCTACCAGTGACCTGGTCCGAGAGATGCAGTGCATTGATGCGGACACGTTCCCAATACACGTGGGGTTCAGGATGCCATACACTTTGCACTGCCAAAACGCATGAGGACCTCATAATCAAGAGTAGGAGTTCCATAATGCGCTGCCTTTTGAGAAGAGATCAATATATTGCCAATCCCTCAATGTACTTCTGTTTAATAACTCCACCTTCTCTGAACCATCTATTTGCCAGAGTAATCGATGGTCTTTGCACTGCTCGAAGGGTTCTAATTTTTAGTTCTCAGGCAGATGATTTAAAAGCTCGATTTCAACAGGATGCCGTACCTAATTTCGATGGTCCAATTTCCTTCCTCAAACAAGTCAACGAGATGTCCGGATTTGAACATTGCGTCGACAAACTCATTCAGTACGGATTGACTGAGCCAGAACAGTGGCTACATGAAATTAGATCTGTTTGGAGAAAAGAACAATTCAAGCGAATTGCCGCAAATCGTCCAGCTTTCGACGGTGTGCAACATGGAGTGGACCGTGATAGCACAATACATCATCTCAGACAAACTGAAAGATATGAGCCACTTCTAAGAGAGGATTTGCTACAAAATGCCGCCGTGCTGCGGCTATTGCTCACTGGCGGATTATTTACACAAAGCATCAATTCTCGACACCGCAAACGTGGTCCTACCGATTGCACGTCTACCGTAGGGGGCGAACAAACTGTTGAACATGTCTCCTGGTACTGCTCATATCATCATGATTTACGAATCCCCATTTTGCATTTGTTTCATCTCATCATACAAGCTTCTCCCGCCTTTCGATTTGCCAGCATAATTACACAAAGAGACGCTGCCCTTCAACCGCATATTCAACTCATTCAAAGTGTTTTAATCAGAATTTGGAGAGCGCATATTAAAAAAAATACCTTGAAGGTGAGTCAACTAATCCGCCTCCAGATAATCCACCAAGACAAATCAATCACACAACAGATGAGACGCATAATGCACCCCAACAGCAAGGTCTGGAAGAAAATGGACATCACATAATATCACTCCAAAGCGGTGGGGTAGTATGCCAAAAATGTGGTAAGCACACAAGCGAACCTAAGCACCGCAGACTTAAGATAAGCAAAAGCCCATGTAAGCAATCTCATCTTAAGCCGGAGTTTTGGACCACCCTCACTCCCTCACAGAAAAATAATTCGAATTCGCATTTGGGTAATTTTGCTGCCATTCTCAAAGTAGAGTCCGAACATCATCTAGCATGGAATTTATCCGTTTCCAACACACCACCCAAAGGAATTCTCAAGTGTCTAAAATGTTCCACCGTTTTCCCGTGGAATAATAGATATAACTTGACACGACAGAGAAAATGCACAAACCCTCATGAACGCAGTCCCACACCTGAGCGTTGGGTCAGCGAACGGATGTACACAGATGATTACAGAGAAGCTTTCCAATGAGTTCGTCACAATTTAGAATCACAATCTGAATTTCCTGATAATTCCCAAGAAGCTTCCTCTTCCAGTGGGCCTGCGGCCAAGCCTAGATTTCGATTTGACAACCAAAACCAATGTTACCGATACTTCCCCAAGTCACACCAGAAGTGACAATGCTGTTTCATCAGAAGGTTTGCAGCTCTTTGTCCACTTCGACGACATGGGCTAGTGCTCACGCACTGGGGTACTGCGGCACCGGCCCGGTCACCCTCGACATGACAAAGTTCTGGCATCTTGCCCGACATGCCAACTCCTGAAAGGAATATGCGTCAACATGTCGTGTTCGTACTCCTCTGCAGAAGCTGTTGAAGGAATCTGCCTTCTTGGTGACATCGCTACCAATATCCACAACCATCTCACCCTCATGTTCCTCCAAACGCAAGGTGCTTGAAGATGACCTAGCACAAGGCCCACAGTCCAAATACCATTCGTTGCTGCTTCACTTGATGACAAAACAAGTAACATCACCTTGTCCGACTCGTTGTACGTAAGTGAGCACGTCGTAACTGTGATCTTCTCCCCTGCGTTGACCGTTGGTCTCTAGAGATGTTTGCTTCTTGGGTCCTGAGGAAAAGGTGTGCCAGTGATAGTAGCAAGCCTTGCGCTCTCACCCATAAACATGAACAGCAAGTCTAATCACAGTTGGATGGGCAAACAAGTTGGATGGGCAAACATGCGCGCCAAAGCCACTGCCTTTCATCATACACCCACTGGTGTTGACATCTTCATCCAAAGGCACGCCTGCTATGTAGCAAAAGTTACTAGCTAATGTCAGTGCAGCTCCTGGTTGAACATCAGAAGCGTCATTGTGAAGAGGATGACGTAGCACCAGCCAAACAAAGCAGCGTTGGGTTTACTCTTGCCCTTCTCAGCACTCTTGACGTCTTCCATTCTCTTCCTGCACTCGCTCTTGACGGGATGCGACCAACCGTCTGACAATAGAAAGAGACCTTGCCCTTGGAGCTTTAACTGGTATCCATTGGCTCCCCGTTCCTTTATCACGCTTGTGGTTGTTGAATTCGCACCCTTCTGGCCATAGTCGTTGCATGTGCCTTTGCCTTTCTTCCCTTTCCTACCCATCGGCCGTGTTGCACCCATCTTCATGTCCTGAAAAAATGACTGGATCCTCGATCCTAAGCTGGAAAAAAGAGCTGCGCGCGTTCGGCTGGAAAGGCATCCGCCAAAAATTCAAAAAGTCAAAAAATGAAAAGTCAAAAAGTATACTTTTCGACTTTTCGACTTGTCTTCTTCCCTCTCACCTTTCGACTTTTTCCACTTTTTGACTGTTCAAAATTCAAAACGAAACCTTTCCACTCTTCGACTTTTCGAAATTGATTTTCCATATACTTTCCGCCTGGAGCCTTGCAGCACATCTTTCCTACCCAGCCTCGATCCCCCCATAGCTCATGCCGGGCTTCGCCCCAAGTACCCAATCTCCATGAAGTTCTCATCAGGTGTTGTTTGGCTAGCTGGCCGGTAACAAGAACGCCATACTTCAGGTCATCGGTGATGGTTTGACTGCATGGGTGTTCAACTCATACTCTTTCACCTTCCTCTCCAACTCAGAATGTGTTGCAAATATTCAAACACTTTAAACTCAGAAGCTGTATCACATCCGGATTGGACCCTGGGTCATACTCCAAACTAAGTTGACGGTACCTTTCAAGATCTTTGCCAATATCCTTATTGTGCATACCATCAAAAACGCCATCGCAGAGTAACATCACCACACTATGCGACAGTTGGCTGGAGAAATTAACTTCTTCTTGGAACAGGGTAAAGCATTGTACATCGCAACATCAAAACCTTGAACTCTGCAAGCAGACGGGGAATCTGCTGTCAATTGCGCCAGAAAACTCTTGAGATGAGTATCCACGCCCTATACCTTGAGACTTCTCCCTTGACTGGTTCTGGTTTTCCCGTTCCTCTGGCACACATCACCCATTGAAATCGATTTGGCGATGCTGGTGGGCTGGGCAGCTGGTGCAGTAGGTGAACCTACCCTATAGGGCTATACTATAGGACCAAACACTGTCGATAGCTCGCTTCTGCATCTTGTCTGCATTGAATAGCCCTCATGCCAGCCACCAACCTACCTGCATGCTGACGTCGTTGCGGGTGAAGTTCCCACTCAACTTGCTCTAACCATATTGTAGCGCTGGAACTTACCACGCTCAATCGGCCTCCTCTTCGTCTTTGGTGGCAAGGGACCTGCATCCTCTGCTTCCTTCTCTTCCTTCGTCTTACCCTTGCTCTTAGCCTCTTGCTCGAGAAGTGCCGCTTTCTTGGTGCAATCAACCTTTACTTTGCTGCAGCTAGTAGGATCTTTCTCCTTGCTGATCTATCAATGCTGCAAGCTTCGCCGCGGCCCAAAGGTATTGTGAACCAGCCGATCGATGTACCTATATATTCTTCCAGCGTTGCGTTGCAGCTGAACGCATTCAGTAAAGGAAGATATGGCCCACGATAGCTTCACAAAGTCAGAGGGAGATTGACGATGTTTTCTTGCCTGCTCTGCAGTTGAAATGCTTCTGCAGTAGGCCCCGCAGATAACCCTTGAGAATGAGGATGCCATGGAAAAGCTTGATTTCATAGAAGTTTGCAAAGATCTTACCTCAAACGAACTGCTGTAGTGCTGAAGTCTCCTAAGCTTGTGTTTGAATCTTTGCAGGATAGCAGCCGTCCAGACTTGTTCTGGCGTTCTGCTCTCCCGACTCCTTGTCTCAAAGCAGAGCCCCTTGGCCTTCAGGAGCTGGGTGTCGATGTTTTGGTCGAACCAGTTCCGTGGGGCTTACTCTTACGCTACCATGCAAGAGAAGCACGGGCGCTGTGTTGACACCAAAGCACAACGTCTTGAGATGTCTTGAGCCATGTTGGCTGCAGCGTGTACTCCTTCAGTTCACAAGGTAAGGTTTGGGCTATTCACCCATGTCTGACATCTCTAGCGATCTGGATTCCACTTGCACGGGACTGCAATGCTTAATTACTATGCTTACTGTAACTCACGTGGCAGTGAATAGGGTTGATACTGTAAGATAGATACTTGGGCACCATGATTTCACACTGACCTATGTCAATTGTGTGGAAAGTCTGTGCTCTGTATTTGGGAAAGCACTCATACATGAAAGGGTGACACTTTGCTTTCTTCAGGCATGGCGTCCCAAATGCGTTTTCTCTTGTTTTTCGAATGTTTTGAAACCTTGGGTCTAGTTGAAGGGAGGCTCGTTTCAGTCCCAACTGGTGGGAACTTGACGTATTTGACACGGCCATCTCCAGTCAACAAAAGGGGCAGCTGGGCATGCCTTTACAAAGAAGACGTTCTTGAGGCTGGCAAAGGCATGGAAAAGATAGTTTTCACTCTTCCAGAAAATCTGCCCCAGGTGCTCATAGTACATGGACCTCCGCTGCACATGCACAAGAGCCGCAGAAATGATCAACAACTTGGCTGCACACTATGTCAAATTTATGTAAATCTATCAGGAATCCCTTGATCAACTTGAAATCACGGACGCATGCATACAACTTTCAGATCCGCCAGCGAGACAAGCCGGCTGGCCTGAGATGTGGTTTGGGGCGCTGGTTGACTTTCCCCAATGCCGCCATGAGATCGCAGATTTCAGACGATGTGTTGTAGGCCTCACCTTGCTCGCCCCCCTTCAAAAACAGGTTTGACCTTTCAAGCGACTTTAGCATGCTATAGCACGCTCTAGGTTTACTGAAACGTAAGGTCCACACGCCACAAGTCAAGCCTTGGTGGTCTCAACTTGCGCACAGCCATCGATCATGGGTTCCCATATTGAATCTAAAACTGTTTGGGATTTGACGCCGCCTGATGTGAAATGTGCTCATGACCTGACGCGAATCTCCAAATTCCTTTTCCCCGGAAAGATTTCCAACATCCGAAAAAAACAAAAAAACAATATCAAACATTTATCAAATCATTTCTCAAATTTATCAATCCATATCCAGCACCAACTTTTCTCATTTCACCAAGGCCATCGCTCGGTGGCAACCTGCATCTGTCTGCAACGCCTCAGGTGCTGCGGCCACGTGTGATTCCAGCCGTCCAACCATGACCAACGATGAGAAACAATGTCCCACGTCAACACTGGCATCGTGTTGGATGAGAAGAGCTGAATCGAATGAGGAGAAATGAGAAGAGAAGAGATGAGAGGAGGAAGAGCTTAGAAGAGCTTACAGGAGCTGTTCCATGTTGTGCCTTACTCCATACGAGCACCAACCTAACTACAGGTGATGCCGCTCCAATTTAAATGAATTTGACATTGAACATCGAACTATATCATATTCTATACAACTGTTCAAGAACCGCACTGAATGTCATACTGCAAAACAAACAAATCCGTTTCGATGCTCTCTTGGCAGCCTCAAGGGGTCGAAACCATATCTCCAACAAACGGCATGCTTTTGGGGCCCAACCTATCTCGATGGAAGCGCTATGAGATATGAGACCGCCGAAAAAAACAAACCCTTCAACGAAGCCCGCAGGGCCATGCTTTAAAGGCACTTCAGTGAAGTCGCCGCCGAACGCGCAAAAGCCCGTCATGAAAATCAATGGCTTCTGTTGACCCCTAATTAATGACTCCGGAGCGGAATGATGGACCAAAACCCTTCTTCCAATCCTCTCTCTCTCTCTCTCTGTCCATCTCTCTCCGGTCTCTGCTCCCATCACAAGCTCCGACTGCCGCGATGAATGTCACTCTTGCACGTGACAGATTTCATGCGAGGTCATATGAGCGCGAGTATATAAACAAGTCCGCTAACTGCTATTTAAAAACAATGATCTGCTTCTGGTTTTATGCTTCCTCCTTTCACAGGACCTGATGTTGAGAACAAGGGACCTTGGCTTCGTTACTTGCGAGTTTCCCACTTTCCATTTCCTCTGCATGGGTGGCCTGGAATGCCAAAGGCCTCTTTCCACATCTCTGCTGGACTCTGCCGGGGGCAGCATTTCTCTGGTTTTGGACTTATGTTAATATATATATATATGTTTTAACATTTTAACATATATGTTTTTCTCAATGTTGGCATTGTTGGTTTGCCTCATGCCATGCTTTTGTAGCCAGAAACCCAAGTTCGAGGCGTCTCCAGCGTCTTGGTGATGGTTTCAACATTGTTAGGCTGTACCTGAGGCACAGCGTGATGGCAGTGATGGCATATTGCACAGGTGGTTGGGACTTACGAACTTTAAAGATCATATCAGCATGTTATCGCACATCTTAACAGACTTGAACTCAACATGGCACCCTAACTTTGATCCAAAATCTCTTAAAACCGGATGCAAATGCTCTGTGGGCACTGGATTCTGGCCACTTGGACCAGTTCGCTTAGACAAATCCTGGTGGAATCTGGTGCAATCGCCATTGGTAGTGGACTACATGGCTGTCCAAGACATGCATTCGCCATTGGGTTGAGGCGGTTGAGGGCTTTGAGCCTTTGCATTTTGCGTCCTGGAAGTTCTTCCGCAAAATGTCGCACAGGCGCTTGAACCTGGGAAGTGCAATCCAAACATATACACACTTTTCATTGCACTTCCAGTGGAGATTCAAACCCTCGAAAGAATGGGAGTTATACGGAGTTTATGAAAATTGAGAGCTTTGGAAGTTTTGTCCTTTTAATTATATAACTAAGACTAAGACCTAAGAATTGATCTTTTTTGGGGCTCACACTCCAGCCAAGCCCGGACCAATTCAAACTACCCCGGAGATCCTGTGGGTGTATTACAATGCATTGCCTGTCATCTCACTCAGTTTTTATTTCTTCAACTCCCAAGTGAGGAAGCAAAGTCTTTTGACCCGAAATACTGCACACTTTCGACCTGAAAATCACGAAATTGGCTAAATCATGCTAAATCTAGCAGCCCAAAATTACCTCAAATGATCAGCGTTCAGGATTTGCGGGTGTTTGCGGATTTTTGCAAGCGTTTTGCGGGTAATTTGGGGTGTGGCAAATCAGCTACAGGAGACAGGGAGCCATCTATTCTGCCAAAAAAGGGTTGGAGTGCTCATTTACAAGCACCAGCTTTGCCAACTCAATGATGTGATGATTCGATTGACGAACGCACACACACCTTCCCATTCCAAAGTCTCAAACGGCACACTAGCTGGAAGTCAAATAAACCCGGCGGATGCGAAACCGCGCGAGCGTTTTGAGGGTTTGCTGAATAGGACCGTCAGAATCACCTGCAATTTCCAATATCCGCCGACCCCGGCCTTCGCCAAGGCAGGGGCGGCGCCTGGGACCACCGGAGGTGTGGAACCTGCTTTGTCACGGCCATGGCGTTCCCTTCAACCCGTCCGCTGGCCTCTCCAAGGCAACTCTCGCAGCTACACGCTCCAGCCATCTGTTTTTAGTGGCGTTCAAGCATGCTGTTTGCCCGCCCTCAACTTCGACCAAGCACTCCGGCCACAGTTCTCTCTGTTGTTAAGGGCCTGCCCTCTGTTGTTAAGGGCGTTCAAGGCTGCCGTGTGCCAGCCCTAAAATCCTTCAAAGGCTCCGCGGGAGCTTCGACCAAGCACTCCGGCCACAGCTCTCTCTGTTGTTCAGGGCCTGCCCTCTGTTGTTAAGGGCGTTCAAGGCTGCCGTGTGCCAGCCCAAAAATCCTTCAAAGGCTCCGCGGGAGCTTCGACCAAGCACTCCGGCCACAGCTCTCTCTGTTGTTAAGGGCCTGCCCTCTGTTGTTAAGGGCGTTCAAGGCTGCCGTTTGCCAACCCCTCAAATCATTCAAAGGCTCCGCGGGAGCTTCGACCCAGCACTCCGGCCATAGCTCTCTCTGTTGTTCAGGGCCTGCCCTCTGTTGTTAAGGGCGTTCAAGGCTGCCGTGTGCCAGCCCTAAAATCCTTCAAAGGCTCCGCGGGAGCTTCGACCAAGCACTCCGGCCACAGCTCTCTCTGTTGTTAAGGGCCTGCCCTCTGTTGTTAAGGGCGTTGCCAGGCCTAAAATCCTCCAAAGGCTTCGCGGGAGCTTCGACCAGCTCTCTCTGTTGTTAAGGGCCTGCCCTCTGTTGTTAAGGGCGTTCAAGGCTGCCGTTTGCCAGCCCTCAAATCCTTCAAAGGCTCCGCGGGAGCTTCGACCAAGCACTCCGGCCACAGCTCTCTCTGTTGTTCAGGGCCTGCTGCCCCTCTGTTGTTAAGGGCCTGCCCTCTGTTTTTAAGGGTGTTCAAGGCTGCCGTTTGCCAGCCCTCTGTCTGTTTGTCTGTCTATCTATCTATCTATCTATCCATCCATCTATCTCTCTACAAGACCCCCCAAATAGGGGGGGTCGGTGGCACCAGGGCGCTAGCCCATTCTACAAAATGCTGTTCCGCACTCTTCTGATAACTCACTTTCGGTGAAAAAAAGTGGTCTCAAAATCCATTGATTTTTGACAATTCCCTGTAAATACCATGTGCAGACGTGGATTCGACGAGTTTTTTTAACACCAATCGTCGGCTCAGCGATCCATCAGTTTGGAAGCCGTCTTCGACAGCAAGTTGCCATTATGGCACTCATAACGCCATTGCCAGCAACGCAGGTACAGCATGACATCTGTGTTCTGCCCTGTTCTTGTCTGCAAATTGCTAGGCACAACATTTTTGGCCCAATTCCACAGAGAGTCAATCTTCCCTGTGTGCACTTGGAGTACACCGAGCCTGCCACGACGCGTGTTAGAAGTCACGTGGAAAAAGCGCACGGCGTAACATCCAGAGCGTGTTAGAAGTTGCTAGGCAAAAGTGCAGAGCGTAACATCCAGAGCGTGTTAGAAGTTGCTAGGCAAAAGTGCAGAGCGTAACATGCAGAGCGTGTTAGAAGTCACGTGGCAACAGTGCACAGCGTAACATGCAGAGCGTGTTAGAAGTTGCTAGGCAAAAGTGCAGAGCGTAACATCCAGAGCGTGTTAGAAGTCACGCGGAAACAGTGCAGAGCGTAACATGCAGAGCTTGTTAGAAGTTGCGAGGCAAAAGTGCAGAGCGTAACATGCAGAGCGTGTTACAAGTCACCTAAAAAACAGTGCACAGCGTAACATGCAGAGCGTGTTAGAAGTTGCTAGGCAAAAGTGCAGAGCGTAACATGCAGAGCGTGTTAGAAGTCACGTGGAGACAGTGCACAGCGTAACATGCAGAGCGTGTTAGAAGTTGCTAGGCAAAAGTGCAGAGCGTAACATCCAGAGCGTGTTAGAAGTCACGCGGAAACAGTGCAGAGCGTAACATGCAGAGCGTGTTGGAAGTTGCTAGGACAAGGGAGCAAAAGTCACCACAAAGGGTGCAGAGCGTAACATCCAGACGTGTTTAGAAGTCACAACCGAAACAGGTGCAGAGCGTAACACATCCGATCGTTTTATGAAAGTTGCTAGGCAAAAGTGCAGAGCGTAACATGCAGAGCGTGTTAGAAGTCACGTGGAAACAGTGCGCAGCGTAACATGCAGAGCGTGTTAGAAGTTGCTAGGCAAAAGTGCACAGCGTAACATCCAGAGCGTGTTAGAAGTCACGCGGAAACAGTGCAGAGCGTAACATGCAGAGCTTGTTAGGAGTTGCGAGGCAAAAGTGCAGAGCGTAACATGCAGAGCGTGTTAGAAGTCACGTGGCAACAGTGCACAGCGTAACATGCAGAGCGTGTTAGAAGTTGCTAGGCAAAAGTGCAGAGCGTAACATCCAGAGCGTGTTAGAAGTCACGCGGAAACAGTGCAGAGCGTAACATGCAGAGCGTGTTAGAAGTTGCTAGGCAAAAGTGCAGAGCGTAACATGCAGAGCGTGTTAGAAGTCACGTGGAAACAGTGCACAGCGTAACATGCAGAGCGTGTTAGAAGTTGCTAGGCAAAAGTGCAGAGCGTAACATGCAGAGCGTGTTAGAAGTTGCTAGGAAAAAATTCCAGAGCGTAACATCCAGAGCGTGTTAGAAGTTGCTAGGCAAAAGTGCAGAGCGTAACATGCAGAGCGTGTTAGAAGTCACGTGGAAACAGTGCGCAGCGTAACATGCAGAGCGTGTTAGAAGTTGCTAGGCAAAAGTGCAGAGCGTAACATGCAGAGCGTGTTAGAAGTCACGTGGAGACAGTGCACAGCGTAACATCCAGAGCGTGTTAGAAGTCACGCGGAAACAGTGCAGAGCGTAACATCCAGAGCGTGTTAGAAGTCACGCCCCCCACACCGCTGAACCGGGCAGAGCGTAACATGCAGAGCTTGTTAGGAGTTGCGAGGCAAAAGTGCAGAGCGTAACATGCAGAGCGTGTTAGAAGTCACGTGGCAACAGTGCACAGCGTAACATGCAGAGCGTGTTAGAAGTTGCTAGGCAAAAGTGCAGAGCGTAACATCCAGAGCGTGTTAGAAGTCACGCGGAAACAGTGCAGAGCGTAACATGCAGAGCGTGTTAGAAGTTGCTAGGCAAAAGTGCAGAGCGTAACATGCAGAGCGTGTTAGAAGTCACGTGGAAACAGTGCACAGCGTAACATGCAGAGCGTGTTAGAAGTTGCTAGGCAAAAGTGCAGAGCGTAACATGCAGAGCGTGTTAGAAGTTGCTAGGAAAAAATTCCAGAGCGTAACATCCAGAGCGTGTTAGAAGTTGCTAGGCAAAAGTGCAGAGCGTAACATGCAGAGCGTGTTAGAAGTCACGTGGAAACAGTGCGCAGCGTAACATGCAGAGCGTGTTAGAAGTTGCTAGGCAAAAGTGCAGAGCGTAACATGCAGAGCGTGTTAGAAGTCACGTGGAGACAGTGCACAGCGTAACATCCAGAGCGTGTTAGAAGTCACGCGGAAACAGTGCAGAGCGTAACATCCAGAGCGTGTTAGAAGTCACGCGGAAACAGTGCAGAGCGTAACATGCAGAGCGTGTTGGAAGTTGCTAGGCAAAAGTGCAGAGCGTAACATGCAGAGCGTGTTAGAAGTCACGTGGAAACAGTGCACAGCGTAACATGCAGAGCGTGTTAGAAGTTGCTAGGCAAAAGTGCAGAGCGTAACATGCAGAGCGTGTTAGAAGTTGCTAGGAAAAAATTCCAGAGCGTAACATCCAGAGCGTGTTAGAAGTTGCTAGGCAAAAGTGCAGAGCGTAACATGCAGAGCGTGTTAGAAGTCACGTGGAAACAGTGCGCAGCGTAACATGCAGAGCGTGTTACGCCGGTGATGTTAGGCAAGAGCGTGTTCCACGCACTCTGCACATGACGTTAATACCCCACCCCACCCCAACCCCAACACAGAGAGCCAACCTCAAAAAAGTAGCAAAACGCACGTACGGTTTTCCAGCCGTAGGCAAGTACAGACTACATCCCTTGCATGCATGCAAAAAGATGCAAAAGAATCAATTTTAGGAAAATTAGGCGAGGGAATAATTGTGACTTTGAATCCACGTCCAATCAATGCCCAAAAGATCAGGTTAGGCAATTTCCTGCCTAATAGTTAATTCCTTATTTCCTACCTGATTAGGTAATTTATAAGGTAAAAATGTAACCTAATTTTAAGGTAATTCGGCACGCGGGGTTGAAAGTTTGCGTGCAAAATTGCGAGGCGGGGCTGAAAGTTTGCATGCAAACTTGCGACACAAGGTTGAAAGTTTGGATGCAAACTTGCGAGGGGAGGTTGAAAGTTTGCGCGCAAACTTGCGAGGCGGGGTTGAAAGTCTGGATGCAAACTTGCGAGGCGGGGTTGAAAGTTTGCAAGCAAATTTGCGCCCTTGGACACGCACGCAAGCATTTGCAGGCAAATGGTGGTGCAAGTTTACATTCAAACTTGCTAGGGGGGTTGAAAGTTTGCCTGCAAACTTGCGAGGGGAGGTTGAAAGTTTGCATGCAAACTTGCGAGGCGGGGTTGAAAGTTTGCGTGCAAACTTTCGTTGAAAGTTAGGTAAAAAAATAGTTCAGGCAAGAAAAATTAACTAATTTAGGTACCCAAAAGGATCAGGTTAGGCAATTTCCTGCCTAATAGTTAATTCCGTATTTCCTACCTAATTAGGTAATTTTTAAGGTAAAAATGTAACCTAATTTTAAGGTAATTCGGCACGCGGGGTTGAAAGTTTGCATGCAAACTTGCGAGGCGGGGTTGAAAGTTTGCAAGCAAATTTGCGCCCTTGGACACGCACGCAAGCATTTGCAGGCAAATGGTGGTGCAAGTTTACATTCAAACTTGCGAGGGGGGGTTGAAAGTTTGGATGCAAACTTGCGAGGCGGGGTTGAAAGTTTGCAAGCAAATTTGCGCCCTTGGACACGCACGCAAGCATTTGCAGGCAAATGGTGGTGCAAGTTTACATTCAAACTTGCGAGGGGGGGTTGAAAGTTTGGATGCAAACTTGCGAGGCGGGGTTGAAAGTTTGCAAGCAAATTTGCGCCCTTGGACACGCACGCAAGCATTTGCAGGCAAATGGTGGTGCAAGCATTCAAACTTGCGAGGGGGGTTGAAAGTTTGCCTGCAAACTTGCGAGGGGAGGTTGAAAGTTTGCATGCAAACTTGCGAGGCGGGGTTGAAAGTTTGCGTGCAAACTTTCGTTGAAAGTTAGGTAAAAAAAATAGTTCAGGCAAGAAAAATTAACTAATTTAGGTAAGGAAAAAATAAACTAATAGGTAATTATTTTTGTCTAAGATAAGGAATTACCTTTTCGGCAGGAAATTGCCCAACCTGATCTATTGGGTGATCAACCCCTGCAAGCGAACCGGTCTTAATGCCAACCTTTCGAGCATCAATTGTTTGTACATTCCGCCGGAATGGAGGCAGCACGAAGGTGTTTAAGCGTTGTGATTTTCTCTGTGGCATTGTCCATGTCTGTCCCTTCCCTTTGGATTCCTTTTTGCGAATTTCCTGTCATTTCCCATCATTTCCTTTTCATTTCCTGTCTCGACGTCCTGTCCACATTTTCCAGAGTTCGATCCCCCCGAGCCCAAGCTTCCAGCTCCTGTGGTCGAGAATTGGCCCGACAAAACTCGAAGGCTTGTCGTGAAGTCTCGTGGTAGACCTGATGCCAACTGATATTGATTGCAACAGTCGCAGCACGACCGATTGATTTCAACAGTTTTCGACTTTTTAACGGTGCAATGTTTTTTTCATGCGCTTCGCAACCCCTCAGCTGGCATGGCATCATGCCTCCTCCAAACGGTTGTTGGACTTGAGGACATCTAGGATCACCTGGTTACAAAGCAGCGAGCGATTCAAACAGCGAGTCAACGAATGCGAATTCAGAAATCAGATTTTTCGTGGAGAAACTCCGAGCTACGGAGAGTGAACACTAGCATTACCCAAGAAGTCTTGAGTCCAGTCGGCATGTTCCTGAAGTACAGCAGAGCAGAGTAGAATAGAAAATAGAGTAGAGTAGGGTAGTAGAGTAAAAAACAAGTAGAAAAACTGAAAAAGTAGGGTAGAGGAGAAAAAAGTACAGAAGAGTAGAGTATAGTAGTGTGGAGTAGAGCAGATTTGAAATTTGGCTGGTCCTGAAGTAGAGAACAAAATAGCTCAGAAGTCTTAAGTCTAGTCGGCTGGTATCGAAGTAGAATAAAGTAGAAGAGAAGAGAGTAGAGAGAGTCGAATAGAGCAAACTCAAGAAGAGAAGGGTAGAGATTAGTGGAGTATAGGGTAGAGAAGAGAGGAGTAGAGTCGAATCAAGTAGAGTAAATATATGAGAAAAGTAGAGCAAGTAGAATTCAAGAAGAGCCCTTTGCTACGAACCGTTTGCCACGCATTCAGGAAACATTGGGCGATCTCTTTTGCTTGTCCCATCCTCTCCGCAGTTTCACAGCATTGCCGTAGAAATATCACATTCGACGCCATGGTGCCGTGCAAGTGTTCAAAACATGTCAAACAGTGCTTGGATATTTCGAATGGCCAATCCACAAATGCTCTAATCGCCTTCTCACATCTGTGGCCGTGCCTTGTACGTCTCCCACAGAAAGCGGAAATGCGTGTGCACATCTTTGTCCTGCGATTGGCTCATTCAGAGACCGCCAGCATCCTTTGTGGTGGATCTAAGTTTTAAATACCCCTCCCTAAACCAACCCGTAATAGACCACTAACATTAAATAATCCTATACCCCACCGAAAATACATCAAACCAACCCTAAACACACCCTACGCCAGCCATATAACAACTATGCCTCAACCAGCCCTAGAACTCCAAAATGCCGTAGAAATGGCACAAAATGCTGCAAATACCAAGTAAAATGGCGTAGCACTGCCTCGGAAAACAAAAACCGGGAGCAGAGGGAAAAAACATGTCGCAAACCGGCAGCGAGTGCCTGCCAGTATTTTGCAGCACATGGGACTGCAGTCCGGGACAAGTCAATAACAATGACAGTTCAATATATTAAAGATGTTCGAATCGGTCTTTTTGGTGTCTTCCGATGTAGATTGTCAGTGGGTTCGCTGTTGTAGCTTGACAGCGTCGCAGGGCCATATCCTTGTTCAAACGCCACAAAATCGCACGCTTCAAAATGAGTTGACGTGTACACTTCAGCACCTCGAGGTACAGTGAAACTGTGACATTTTTATTATTTCCTCCTGCTTTGTGTAGGTCCCCCCCTCAAACAATATCCTCTCTTTAAAGTTGGGTTTCAAAAAATTCCTCCCCAAAAAAAACCATCGTTCACTCAAGCAAGGATTTCAATTGGCGACAATTGAAATCTAATTATTTTTTTTTTATGAAGGCACTTGAAGTACGTTTAGTATGTGTAGTACTTGTAATACTTGTAGTACGTGTAGTACTTGTAGTATGTGTAGTACTTGTAGTATGTGTATATAGTGCGTGTAGAAGAAGAGAAAGAGAAAAGGAAAAAAAAGAGAAACGACAGAGAAAGGAAGAGACAGAAAGAGAGAGAGAGAGAGAGAGCCAGAGACAAAAACAAAGAAAGAAAAGGTTGCTTTTGGCAAAGGCCAGCTTTTCTTCTGTTGGTGCCAGGATCAGCGCTGGAAAAGTTTGCTGCAATTGTGAGCCCTGAGAACAAACCTATTAAAGTGAATTGGACCCTCTCATGGCCCAGTGCTTTGCAATTTTGTGGAAAAACTGTTCTTTAATAAGGGTTTAAGAAAATTGGGTGACACTTCTCTGATTAGGAATGACGCAGTGAGCTGTGTGAAGGATCCCTCCGATAGTTTGACTAAGGAATTCCTTCAAGCTGTTGAATCAGCCCGTACTGCAAGTGAGCTTGAACCGCCGCCTATAGATCCTGATTCAATTGAGGCTCAGCCTGAAGCTATTCGTGTGCTTTGGGATGGAGTAACCCATTTGGCTGTAGACGATCCTTTGGTCTCCACCCGAGCTGGAAGAGTTGAGAGCTGGAATCTGCATCACTCTGACTTTTGCCGTTGTCATACATCTCGCATTACAGTGTTGGCTGATGACTTCCGGCAGTGGCAAGCCCAACTTGCAGCTACTTGGGTTGACAAAGTTAGGAACCGGCAGGATCTGACGTTTGCTATTGTACATCCGGACCCAGAAGATTGCTCAACCGGGATTCTTGCCTAAATTGTTGTCATGGAAAGGGAGACCCCGGATTATAGATCCAATGTCGTTTATGTTTACGATTCTGACCCTGAAGCTGAAAGGTGTCCCTATACCATAGCGGTGGTTATGCCGAGACGCATTATCCTTCAAAGCTTGCTTGGCAGACTGAACCTTCAAACGGATTGTCCACCACATGTCCTTGAGAACTTGTGTAGCCTCTGGTTTGGTAGGATTCCTATTGGCACACATCACGAGGTTAATGTTCTCATGGGTAATGCCTTCCGTTTGATTATCGGTGGAGGAATCAGACTTGACGTCCCTCACTTGCTTTTGCTTGAAAACTCGCAGATACGGAGTATCCTACAACGGGCCATCAGAAGTGAAATCTTTGACAGGCCAACGGAACCAAGTTTTGTGAATGTTTTTGCGACGCCTGCTGATTCTCCTTGTGCAAGTGGTTATGTCAAGATGACGGCTGACAATCGACCAAGTTGGATCCCTGTGGTTGAGCAGCACTTCCGCAGAGGCCATCAACGTGAGCCGCCTGACTACCACCACACTTTGACCGTGCAAGTCTGGTACCGCCTGACTACCACCCCACTTTGACCGTGCAAGTCTGGTACCTTAATAATGAATTTGCCTACCATTGTGCTGATGCAAGAGAAGCTAGCATCACGGACGAGTCATTCATGTGGCGTACTGACTTCGTTTTCAGATGGCGTAATCGTATCACTAGAGCGTCACCGGTTAAGCTGTGGCTCTACCCAATCTTGTTGCGGTCTCACCGCAGGCCTTGCCCACTCCACATGTCATCCTTACACAAGGGCTGCCTTCGAACACCTTTGCTGTGCTAATTACAGTTTGTGGGATTGGGAGGTTACGGATGTATGCTAGACAGTTTGCACATGTATTTCAAGGCAAGCTTCTTGGAAGAGAGGTGATTAGACTTGCTGTCCCGCAAGAACACATGCACCGTCCTGTGATCATACAGTTTGCGGGACAGACTTATTTCCCTGATGATGTACTTTTCGTTCAAATGGAAACCCGTCTTTCTGTCTTGATTTCTGCTGGAAGATGTTGACATCTACACCGACCAGATTGTGGATGCCTTCAACCTGATGCAGCAGCAGACAAAAAAATCTTACGGACTGATGACACACAAATCCCTAGCATCGATTGCAAACCAGCTGAATTTGGACTGCCTGGTGACTTCCCTGTTTCCTTACCGGGTTCAGACCACCCGCAGTCAAGACCTCAAAGACCTGTACATGATGGTGCTACTCACTGGAGTCTTGATCTAGGCGCTTTGTTTCAGACGCATGGTGTTTTGAATGCTTGGGATGATGCGACTACATTGTCCGTAACCACCTGGTATGTTCACCATGACCGCCGCCCTGTCTGCCACCGACCTAAGCACCTTATGCTAGGTAATCCGAATATGACTTGAGAAGAACCTGGCTTGACGCTATGGATCGGTGACTGCCATTTGCGATCCACAGTGAAGCCACGCCCACCGCAGTATAGGGAGCATGGTAGTACTTGCCACATCATTCCGGAGCAAGCCCACATCATTCTGGAGCGAGCCCCACCTCTAGGTAGAACAGTTGCTGTACTTACTGCCTTGTTGGAGGGGTATACTATCCAAGGAGCTTTCTCAGTTGACCTCCGAGTTTGTTAGTTCAACCTCTATTTTTCGATCAATGGAGATTTCATTCTCAGTCTTTTGCACAACGCACCAGTGTACCTTGGTCCAGAACCGGCATCCGGTGCGAGCAGATGCATGGATTGATCGGATTGATGTTCAACCTGGAGAAAGTATCTTCGTATGATGCAACCGCCCCAGGGAGCCCAGGGAGCCCAGGGAGCCAGATACTGATGAAATGATTGAAATATCTTACATCAAGGACATCGATGATCTTACATTCGTTACATTGATGCAGACTGCAGGATGTCGAAGCAATGCGCTAAACCCTTTAGCCGCTTTAGCCCCTGAATTCTTTCCTCGACGATTAACAGCCTGCCAGAGCACCTGCAGGATCTCTCCGCATTGACTGACTGTGCATTTGCGTGGGAGGAAGAGACGCGTGCACTGCAGGTTCTTACATGGCTTGTTGCGCCGGGGATTGGGATGCCTAGATGCTTACATAGCTGTAAGGCGACACTGTACGCGGACTATACCCAATGGGAAGCCACACTCAAAGGTAGATGGATGGGCCTCCTGGACCCGCATGTACCTGTGTCTATTGTTGTTGTTAAGCCAGGGCCACCGAACCTTGAACCCTCAATCAGCGCACATGTCATTTTCATCCAGCATCCGCTCCCTGAGTGGTCTTCACCGCTTATCACGATTTATGACCCTGCTGTCAATAGAGGCCACCCATTCAGGTTTGTTGCTACACTGCCCGATCAAACTGCTGACATTGACATCTTGACCGCCACTACCTATTGAATGTGACTGCCAAATTCCCGGGACACATTGCCGCTTCTGGTTTTAGCAGCACGCCCTTGCACAAGGGCACATGTACTCTTATGTGATGGAAATAGCATTACTATGCAAGTTTGTCGTGCAAGCATCCCGACCAATTGGTGCCCACCCATTCAGCCGGAGGTGCCAGGAACTGAGGGACTGGGACTTCTACAACTTGGTGCAAAGAAGTCTACGTCCGATACAGAGATTAAGCTGGATATGCAGCCAGCCATCCAAGCTTTTGAGTGGATTGACCTGCATCTATTCCTGCCTACATTTACAGTCCCAGATGATCTGCAACTCCATCCGCACAGTCGGCAGTGGATCGATCTCCCAATTTGGGAGCTTGGGGTGCCGTGCGACACTCTTTGTATTTACCTGGATGGTTCATTCTGCCCAATGGAACAATATGCTAGGTTTGCTGTTGCCGCCTGTGTTCGTTCTCAGCAGAACTGGTACCAAGCGGGAATGATTTCTAGTCGCGTTTAAGTTGGTAACTCTTACCACGCTGAAATTGTGGCCGCGCTTGTGGCTTCTAAGTTTGCGTATGACCTTCCCAAGCAGATTCTCCTTGGGCAAACACAGATGTCGGTGATTTTCAATCGGAGGTTGAAAACTGCAAGTCAGAATCCTTTCGTACTTTATTGCAGCAGCAAGGGCTCTGGTTGCCAGCCACCTTCAGCGAATGTCAGGAACAGCCATGGGGGACTTGGCAACATACCAATGGGACCTGGAAGAGAGGTGATTATGTAGGCCTACTGGTTCAATGGAGATACGACAAGTGCCAAGCCTTTGTGGCTCAAGATATTGATGTTTCAACCTTAAGGATGACAATAAAGCTGCCATTGTCAGATTTGAAGGACCTAGTCCGACATGTAAGCCCTGCCGTCAGTCCCGTAGGCGTGCTCTCCAAGATGTTGCAGTTGCGACTTTTGATCCAGGTGCTTTCACTGCGATCACCACACCTGATTTCACAGTGGATGTTCATACTCATGCACACTTACTTGAGCAA